TACGTCATTATTGCAACTCTTTCTGAAATATAAATTACATCATACATAACTGATTGATTTCAATTCATATTTTCTTTATTACCATTAATCAATTTTCATGAGTTCTAATCACTATTTCAATGTTCTGGAACTTTCCCTCTCAAACTTTATTTATTTATTCGAATCAAACATTTTATGAGCTGATTAACTCTATCTGAATATTCGCTACATCATCATACACATGTATTGATCCTTAATCACACTCTTATATATAAATATGTCAATATCTGTATTAATGTTGAATTTTAAATAATTTAGGTTGTAAGCAGCTGATGAGAACCTAACGAAATAAAATGAATTCATATTATTCTGCACCAATTTTTGTTCTTGCTCTCTTTAAAATAGATTAAACCTTCAACAATCCAAACATTCGTCCAACCACTCCTACAAACACTCGTACAAACACTCGCACAACCACTCATCAAAACATTCATCCAATCAGTCTCTCATGCATTCTCTCCATCAACAATTCAATCCACTTGTCCAAATACTAAGTCAACACAACACACATTATCATTCACAGACACACGCACACAAACAAACACTCAAACACTATCTCTTACTCTCCTTCCCAAACACACTCACTCACGCACTCACTCACGCACTCACTGACTCAATCAGTCAATCAATCAACCAATCAATAAATCAGACAATCCCACACTGATTCACCGACATACACATACACACGAACACAAATTTGTTCACATCCATCCAATCGAGCGCACTACATGCAATCCACCAAATCACCAGTAGTATCAGTTCTGTGCACAACTAACTCAAACACATCTCACACAAACAACACTGCCTACATTGCATACACACAATCAACTAACACACTCACCTGTTGTACTCTCCGTCAACATAACCTCAGTTCCCGTAGTGTCGGTCTCCGTAATCTCGGTCTCCGTCGTCACTTCGTTCGTGCCAGTAGTGGTCTCAGCTACAATGGACGAAATCCAACACCAATAATTAATCAATCAATCAATCAATCCATCAATCAATCATCACAACAGTCCTTCAATCAATCAGTCGATCATTCAAAAAATCAACAAATCAACAAATCAATCAATCAATCCATCGATCAGTCTGTCAAATAGATTAAACCTTCAACAATCCAAACATTCGTCCAACCACTCCTACAAACACTCGTACAAACACTCGCACAACCACTCATCAAAACATTCATCCAATCAGTCTCCCATGCATTCTCTCCATCAACAATTCAATCCACTTGTCCAACTACTAAGTCAACACAACACACATTATCATTCACAGACACACGCACACAAACAAACACTCAAACACTATCTCACACTCTCCTTCCCAAACACACTCACTCACTCACGCACTCACTCACGCACTCACTGACTCAATCAGTCAATCAATCAACCAATCAATAAATCAGACAATCCAACAATAACTCACTCACACACACACAAACGCAAACACAAATTTGTTCACATCCATCACATCGAGTGCACTACATGCAATCCACCAAATCACCAGTAGTATCAGTTCTGTGCACAACTAACTCAAACACATCTCACACAAACAACACTGCCTACATTGCATACACACAATCAACTAACACACTCACCTGTTGTACTCTCCGTCAACATAACCTCAGTTCCCGTAGTGTCGGTCTCCGTAATCTCGGTCTCCGTCGTCACTTCGTTCGTGCCAGTAGTGGTCTCAGCTACAATGGACGAAATCCAACACCAATAATTAATCAATCAATCAATCAATCCATCAATCAATCATCACATCAGTCCTTCAATCAATCAGTCGATCATTCAAAAAATCAACAAATCAACAAATCAACAAATCAATCAATCAATCCATCGATCAATCTGTCAAATAGATTAAACCTTCAACAATCCAAACATTCGTCCAACCACTCCTACAAACACTCGTACAAACACTCGCACAACCACTCATCAAAACATTCATCCAATCAGTCTCCCATGCATTCTCTCCATCAACAATTCAATCCACTTGTCCAAATACTAAGTCAACACAACACACATTAACATTCACAGACACACGCACACAAACAAACACTCAAACACTATCTCACACTCTCCTTCCCAAACACACTCACTCACTCACTCACTCACGCACTCTTTCACGCACTCACTGACTCAATCAGTCAATCAATCAACCAATCAATAAATCAGACAATCCAACAATAACTCACTCACACACACACAAACGCAAACACAAATTTGTTCACATCCATCACATCGAGTGCACTACATGCAATCCACCAAATCACCAGTAGTATCAGTTCTGTGCACAACTAACTCAAACACATCTCACACAAACAACACTGCCTACATTGCATACACACAATCAACTAACACACTCACCTGTTGTACTCTCCGTCAACATAACCTCAGTTCCCGTAGTGTCGGTCTCCGTAATCTCGGTCTCCGTCGTCACTTCGTTCGTGCCAGTAGTGGTCTCAGCTACAATGGACGAAATCCAACACCAATAATTAATCAATCAATCAATCAATCCATCAATCAATCATCACATCAGTCCTTCAATCAATCAGTCGATCATTCAAAAAATCAACAAATCAACAAATCAACAAATCAATCAATCAATCCATCGATCAATCTGTCAAATAGATTAAACCTTCAACAATCCAAACATTCGTCCAACCACTCCTACAAACACTCGTACAAACACTCGCACAACCACTCATCAAAACATTCATCCAATCAGTCTCCCATGCATTCTCTCCATCAACAATTCAATCCACTTGTCCAAATACTAAGTCAACACAACACACATTAACATTCACAGACACACGCACACAAACAAACACTCAAACACTATCTCACACTCTCCTTCCCAAACACACTCACTCACTCACTCACTCACGCACTCTTTCACACACTCACTGACTCAATCAGTCAATCAATCAACCAATCAATAAATCAGACAATCCAACAATAACTCACTCACACACACACACACACGAACACAAATTTGTTCACATCCATCCAATCGAGTGCACTACATGCAATCCACCAAATCACCAGTAGTATCAGTTCTGTGCACAACTAACTCAAACACATCTCACACAAACAACACTGCCTACATTGCATACACACAATCAACTAACACACTCACCTGTTGTACTCTCCGTCAACATAACCTCAGTTCCCGTAGTGTCGGTCTCCGTAATCTCGGTCTCCGTCGTCACTTCGTTCGTGCCAGTAGTGGTCTCAGCTACAATGGACGAAATCCAACACCAATAATTAATCAATCAATCAATCAATCCATCAATCAATCATCACATCAGTCCTTCAATCAATCAGTCGATCATTCAAAAAATCAACAAATCAACAAATCAACAAATCAATCAATCAATCCATCGATCAGTCTGTCAAATAGATTAAACCTTCAACAATCCAAACATTCGTCCAACCACTCCTACAAACACTCGTACAAACACTCGCACAACCACTCATCAAAACATTCATCCAATCAGTCTCCCATGCATTCTCTCCATCAACAATTCAATCCACTTGTCCAAATACTAAGTCAACACAACACACATTATCATTCACAGACACACACACACACACACACTCAAACACTATCTCTTACTCTCCTTCCCAAACACACTCACTCACGCACTCTTTCACGCACTCACTGACTCAATCAGTTAATCAATGTATCAATCAATTATAATAATATTAATAGATAATGTGGAACGCGAACTTGATTATGGATGAATTTCCATTACTGCCCGAAATGTCGTTTATCTACTTGTAGTAATTTAGCGTTTGTTAATTTCTTCCACGTGAAGCATAACTCGCTGCTTTCACTATGTGTTTTCATACATACACATCATCTTAATTCGTTCTTAATATAACTATTCGATTTATCAATCGTTCTTATCTACTTTTTTAAATGTACTGCCTTACATTCCGACACCCTGATTACTCGTGACATCTTTAATTTTATGTCATATGGGGACCTTACACATACTTCAAACATCTCTGCGTTGTCGCGAATACTGATATATGATATTTTGGATTTTTCTAACTAATTTACTGTCACTCCATATTCTTTTATCTGAGAAAGATTATCTCAATAATACTTCAGTCAAAATTACTGGTCGAAGAATCAACTCACAAAAGTGAATATTCAGAGTATTTTACTCGTACAATTTGCAATCTTAAGACATAAGTTCTCGCGTATATTATCGACTCAGGGAAAAAATTGCAAACCACTTACTTACCCGTAGTCTTGTTATCTTCGGTATTCTGGGATTCAGTGATCACCTCAGTGGTTGCCACATCGATTACAGCTGAAAATACAATGAGAAACGTGTATCTATTCACGTCACAAAAAGCTGAGTATACATGACAATTAATCCTGATTATGATTAGCTGCTAGCCATGGCAGGCGACTAGGTATTTGACAGTAAATGAAGTCGAGACACTTTCGCTGCAGATGGTTTGCAAGTGATGGAGTTGTTTTTCAAACTTGTGAACAATTCCATTTCCTCGTTGATCGAACACTGAACATTCCATTTCGTCGTGTGTTGTGATCTCACCAACTGTAAGACTCTTTAAAATGTAAACGGAATTCTATATCAAACAGCATATATGGAAAGGTCCTATACAAGTGACTGAGGATAAGACAGATTTCTATTGTCTCTCTAGAACAACAAATTTGAAATAGGACCAAACAGTTTCATGAACTAAAATTAAGAGCATCTAATAGATGATCACATCATACATGCATGCTAATTGTTTATGCAGGTGATATTTAACGTGAGAAATAATCAGTTGAATCCTACAACGTTCGCTTCCGGTGTCGGAATCCCCTATCATCAACTTCCAAGATGCATTGAGAACGTGGCGCTCAACTCGCAGGATAAACTGGTTTACTCAACCGACGTTAAACACAAAATTCAATTTCAATATAGCTCGAAAATATCACATGCACTCACTTTCTACTGTCCAGCCACTTGATGTATCGAAGTACACTTGCTCCGACCCATTGGCAACCATTTCTGCTATGTATGCCACAACAGCATTTTGAACAGTGTCTTTTGTCACTTCAGTCGATGAGAAATTCCCACTTGTGCTACTATGGTCGATGACTAATACTGCATTTCCAACAACTGATCCACGCGAGAAGCCAACAACTGTGCAATTAACATTGATTATTCCCTCAATATTAGTTGAATATATGCTGTCCAAAAGCTTGAAGATTTTGTGAGAAGAAAATCGTGCGTGTTATAACGGGATGAATATTGTAAAAGTTGGAAATTTGGAAAATGGTTTTTGAATCGTTATCACGAATATTGTTATTGCTATCAACTATGTTTTTCTTATATAATTACTAAGCAACTGGATTACTGTGTCTATATAATACGTTAACCACAAGCTTTTGGTTAACCCGTTAACCACTGATAGACAACTCTCCACTCCCAGATTTTTGCCAGTCTACTACTTACGGCTTGCATTATTCACAAACACTTTCGGCTTGTCTATGTATGCTTGTGATTTTTCACTCAGTGGTGCGATGTGGTCCAGCACGACTGTATATGATTCCACGTATGCCTGAAGTATAAGAATGATAGAGGCCGTCTGTTGACTTCTCTCTTTGACTCAAGTTTGAAGGCAAAGAAGGACTTACGAGTAGCGGAAAAATAGGAGCTTGGCTTGCATCGCCACAAGGTGGACGGTGAGGGTCATGCCTGTGGTTGGTCATTGCTTGGACACTGGGTCATGGAGGAAATAGTAAACACGGAATGGAAAAGAAATTAGAGTTAGAATTCCGATTGGTAACCTTAGCACATGATATCAATCAGCATCTCAAGCCACAGAAATGTGAGCGGTGGCTTTTCAATGGAATAGTCAGTAATGAATGAATAAATGAGTTAGTCGCAGTTGATAGTTAATGCGACATCACAATGTATAACATCAGGCAGATGGTGCTATACTGCCACTTAGCTCAGTGAGGCTACCCCATGGTGCCATTCATGTTAGGTTAGATGAAATTAGCTCATCGGCATAAATCATTGTTGTATGAATGTCGAACAAGTAGTTTGGTGGAGTTTTATAGCACCGAAGTTTTACATTCACGTGGAAGGAGAACAAATTGGTTTTCCAAACTCGTGGATTAGCAAATATATTTATCGACTGGGTAACCTCAGTTGTCACTACTTACAATATCAAAACGACTGATCCATTACAGGATCGTGCCCGTGCATGTTGACCACTTCTGGTAATTATGCTATGCATAATCAAACGAAACAAGCACATTCGCCTTTATTTGATTGCAACAACATAGTGATTGGAGACCATAGAGTGTTTTGAGACTGCATCAGTTTGTGTAGAGTAAAACGAGATATGATCTACATGGTAAATGGTGAAGAACGGACACCATTAACCACGACGAGTTAAATTCATAATTGCATAAAACAATGATCATGGAATCTACCCAAACAACATCTTGAATTTCTACAGGTACTATTCGTCACAGTTAGAGAAAACAGTTAAATAGTACTCTGTCTTCTATAAATAGCTATTAAATAGCTACATATATTTCCAAAAACCGTCTTCAAATGTCAAACTTCAACCCTTTATCAAAAGACACAGGTTGTCTATACATTTAATCAGTTTTCCTCATTTTTATGTAAATTCAATTGAGAACTCGGTAACAAACTTACCAAATTACAAATTTCAGCTGAATAATTTCGATATAAATCGGAACTAGGATCCAATAAACTGTCATTCCACTCCAAAGACTTGTTCGATCTAGTCAGCATTGATGAGACTGCTACAAAAGAAATTAAATAGTTTCCAACAAGTCAAAGTTCGTTGATTTAAATCCGACTTCTCAGTGAAAGGAGAATATTGAGTTGACTTACTGTTGCACAACAAAACAAAACTGAACGACCTCTCTTCAACTCCACACCACAAATCCAAGTGTATTCGATTATGATCTATCAAAGTGATGGACACTATGAAGTAAATGGTTGTTTGATTTCCCACATCCATGCACACTGAATGCGATATGCTCTTGGTTTGTTATGAAAATAAAGAATTCTACACCAAGTAGTAATGTCTACCCACACACATTGGTTAATAAGTGTAACAATATTGTGAGTGAAGTGACGCTCAGCAAACAAATGTAACGTGACTTCCACAGTTACAGTAAATTTCAGTACTTGTTAGCTTTTATACGAATACAATTAAATTGTTCCACTTGGAAAGATTATGAATCATTCCGGTTTAACATAGATAGTGGCCAACGCGACCAGACGACCCTGAGAAACTCAACAATAAATACTGATTGACAAATAATTTCAATATATGAGCGTACTATATGTGACATCTCTTCGCTACACTGAATTTCCAAGAGGAACAATTCACCCAACCGTTTATGTAATGCAATGTAACCACATATTGATGAATGAAATGGAAAGCAGAATCAAAACAATCAATCAGGAAAATAAATTGGTGTGACAAAACAAACTGCTATATCATATTTTGACTTACCGATTACTACTGTTTTCGTGAGGTTGCCTTCTATAAAACATTTAAGTAGATAACGAAGAAAATTTTCATTAAAAGAACACATGGAGTTTGGTTACATGCAATGCAGATAGACAAGCAGAAACACAAACACAAAACATTGGAGAGAGGAACTTGAATTTAGATAAGCACACAAATGATGAAAACGTGAATTCAGGAGTAAACAATTTGGAGTGAATAGAAGGTCAAATCACTGAATGCCTCAATCAGGTCACTTCACATAATCTACTGCTCACATCAGGTCTGTTTCTAATGATTTCCAATTTTCCAATCGCTTCTGTAGATTCGCCTTTGCATTCAACATATTTCTGTATACGACCTAAATTAAACATATTTCACCAGCCAGTTTCTCATCACATTAATGTGTCTCTTCATTATTATATGACGGTGTAATAAACTAGATTAGATCACCTTGTCAGTCAATCATCATCAACCAAAACCTTGCAGCAAATGTGTCGTGGCACAATTTGCGATATGATATTGGTACAATCTGATATATTGAAGAATTTGAATTCCAACATAAATACCAATCAAGCAATAATAGTGATGACGAGAACAACAGTAGCAAACTACATTAACGTTCCCGACTTAGACAACAATGTAGCTAAACTTGCAGCAAGAAAATCGTAAATATATAACACTGATGTCGAATTAATTTCAGACAGTTCAATAGACAACAGCAGTTCGAAAACTTAGATGAAGTGTGCGTAAGATGTATTAATAGAAAAACAGAAAATAATATCATGAGAGTGTCGTCCTTGAAAAAATCAAAGAATGAGTGTAATAACAGGGCAAAAATGACGCGGAGAAAATGGAACAAACTCACATAAAGCAGCAAAATTTTACGTTATTGAAAAATCAAAGAATTATGCAACGAGTTTCGACTGTCACAACGTAAATGAAATGTTCATAAAATTACACTTTGATGGGGAGTGTGATATGATTGCTTAAATGTCATGATCTAATATCAGCACGAACAGCAATAATAATTCCACGTTAGGTGGTGGTGTGACATTAATGTGATAATGATAATATGATAATTATTATAATCATAATGGAACGATGCGCTAAACAGTTCAGTGAGCAGAGGTGACACGAGGACAAAGTGTCAATAAGGTCATACGACTTGATCATATCCATGTCCCCACCGTACCGGCTTCGCCGAATGTGTCGGATTAGAGATTGAGTAGTTTGAGTGTCTCTTAGACCAATTCAGTTACTTAGTTTGATTAACGGATGCGTAGAGTTCGAGACGATCATCGTCCGACTAGTTTGCCAGGTTGCGTTAGGTTCGAAGTCGGGCCTACCACTTTAGTGGTGTTGTGATCTCTCTCCGATTTGCTCGTATGGTCGAAAACTGTGTTGTTTATCGATTGAGCAAGCTACGTTGAGTTCGTACATTGAAAGTATGGAGTGTAGAGGGTTCATCATCGACGTAGTTTGGCTGCGTTAGGTTCGTCGTCGTGCTGGTCACGTTGAGTGGCCCTTCATTTTGACGACAACTAGATCGGACGATGTTGTTATCGACGAGCTCACCACTTTTGGTGGCCTGATATCTGACTCCAATTATATCGTGTGATGATTGTCATCGAAATATACATACGGCCAGCCCTCGTATATTATCATCGAATTAACTCGCGTTAGTGAATAACCGAGTTTGATGAGTCAAATACGAGAACGAGTTTTAAGTATGCATGTTTCGTACAATCATTGATCCAGACAAATGATCAGAGAAACGAAGCGAAGAAAGTGAAGAGGAGAGAGCGAGACGAAACGAAATGATGCGCAGCGGACAAGGTGAATGAGACAACTCGCTTGAACCAAGCGTCAATCGATATTTAAAGTCCAACGAAAATAGAATACAGATCGATGAAGAATAGGATCAGCGAATAACAAACATAGTAACAAATAAAAACAATCAGGTTAATAGGCAAACAAGTGAACTGGACAAATGGGTTCGAAAAGAATAAACAGAATGATCTAAACCAAAGAGCGTAATGCATATCTGAAAACGAAAAACAAGCACGACAAAAAAAACACTGAGAGAACATAAGAAAACATACAAGCGAGGCAATGGAGGCACAGAACAGAAACACAAAAAACACATCAAGAAATAATCAAACAGCCGGCGGAAGTACAAAAAAGATTCAAAAAAAGAACGACATATATTCGAGTAGACAAAACGCCATTCACCATATCACCAGTAGTATCAGTTCTGTGCACAACTAACTCAAACACATCTCACACAAACAACACTGCGTACATTGCATACACACAATCAACTAACACACTCACCTGTTGTACTCTCCGTCAACATAACCTCAGTTCCCGTAGTGTCGGTCTCCGTAATCTCGGTCTCCGTCGTCACTTCGTTCGTGCCAGTAGTGGTCTCAGCTACAATGGACGAAATCCAACACCAATAATTAATCAATCAATCAATCAATCCATCAATCAATCATCACATCAGTCCTTCAATCAATCAGTCGATCATTCAAAAATTCAACAAATCAACAAATCAATCTGTCAAATATATTAAACCTTCAACAATCCAAACATTCGTCCAACCACTCCTACAAACACTCGTACAAACACTCGCACAACCACTCATCAAAACATTCATCCAATCAGTCTCCCATGCATTCTCTCCATCAACAATTCAATCCACTTGTCCAAATACTAAGTCAACACAACACACATTATCATTCACAGACACACACACACAAACAAACACTCAAACACTATCTCTTACTCTCCTTCCCAAACACACTCACTCACGCACTCACTCACGCACTCACTGACTCAATCAGTCAATCAATCAACCAATCAATAAATCAGACAATCCCACATTAACTCACTCGCACACACACACAAACGCACACTAATTAGTTCACATCCATCACATCGAGTGCATTACATGCGATCCACCAAATCACCAGTAGTATCAGTTCTGTGCACAACTAACTCAAACACATCTCACACAAACAACACTGCCTACATTGCATACACACAATCAACTAACACACTCACCTGTTGTACTCTCCGTCAACATAACCTCAGTTCCCGTAGTGTCGGTCTCCGTAATCTCCGTCTCCGTCGTCACTTCGTTCGTGCCAGTAGTGGTCTCAGCTACAATGGAGGAAATCCAACACCAATAATTAATCAATCAATCAATCAATTAATCAATCCATCAATCAATCATCACATCAGTCCTTCAATCAATCAGTCGATCATTCAAAAAATCAACAAATCAACAAATCAATCAATCCAACGATCAATCTGTCAAATAGAATAAAACTTCAACAATCCAAACATTCGTCCAACCACTCCTACAAACACTCGTACAAACACTCGCACAACCACTCATCAAAACATTCATCCAATCAGTCTCCCATGCATTCTCTCCATCAACAATTCAATCCACTTGTCCAAATATTAAGTCAACACAACACACATTATCATTCACAGACACATATACCCGCACATACTCAAACACTATGTCACACTATCCTTCCCAAACAAACTCACACACTCACTCACTCACGCACTCTTTCACGCACTCACTCACGCACTCACTGACTCAATCAGTCAATCAATCAACCAATCAATAAATCAGACAATCCGACATTAACTCACTCGCACACACACACAAACGCACACTAATTAGTTCACATCCATCACATCGAGTGCACTACATGCGATCCACCAAATCACCAGTAGTATCAGTTCTGTGCACAACTAACTCAAACACATCTCACACAAACAACACTGCCTACATTGCATACACACAATCAACTAACACACTCACCTGTTGTACTCTCCGTCAACATAACCTCAGTTCCCGTAGTGTCGGTCTCCGTAATCTCGGTCTCCGTCGTCACTTCGTTGGTGCCAGTAGTGGTCTCAGCTACAATGGACGAAATCCAACACCAATAATTAATCAATATATCAATCAATCCATCAATCCATCAATCAATCATCACATCAGTCCTTCAATCAATCAGTCGATCATTCAAAAAATCAACAAATCAACAAATCAATCAATCAATCCATCGATCAATCTGTCAAATAGATTAAACCTTCAACAATCCAAACATTCGTCCAACCACTCCTACAAACAATCGAACAAACACTCGCACAACCACTCATCAAAACATTCATCCAATCAGTCTCCCATGCATTCTCTCCATCAACAATTCAATCCACTTGTCCAAATATTAAGTCAACCAAACAC